TGTTACCACACTTAACGGTGGCTTTGCGGTTAACCACTTAGCTCTTTCGATTAAACGCCGGACCCCTGCGGTGTTCGCTTCAGCGAACCCGACATAAATCGATGATGCGTAACAAAATTTAATTAGGTGGGCCATCATCCTAATGGTCAGTGGGTGCGATCATTACATTCCCATTAAAAAACGCGCAGCGCCGGGGAGGTTCACGGGCGGATCGATAAGTAACAGGTGTGGCTGATCGTTATCTTTAATGAATGTTCTATTTTCGGTACACATTCGTTGTGTTGGAGAATGGTCCCTATACAAAGTACACGCTAGTGTTAGTCTTTTATTTTAAACACCATTAAAAATTTTAAAAAATTAAAAATTTAAAAAAATTAAAATCCAATTACGTAACTCGTTAATAAAAATTCAAAATTTTCAAATTTAAAAATTTAAGAAATTAAAATCAAACAAATAATCAAATTACGTAGCTAATTAAAACACAAAATAAATTAAAAGTTTAAAATTACAAAATTAAAATCAAATTACGTAACTAGTTAATAAAATTCATTAAAATTAAAAATTAAACTTAAAAAATAAAATTTAAAAATTTAAAAAATTAAAATCCAATTACGTAACTAGTTAATAATAATTAAACTAATTAAAAATAAACAAACAAAATATAAACAAAGTAATTAAAATCAAATTAATTAAAATCAAACAAGTAATCAAATTACGTAACTCGTTAATAAAAATTAATTAAAATTTAAAAAATTAAAATCAAGCTCATTAAAAAACTCATTAAAACTCATTAAAATTACGTAACTAGGTCACTGATTACGTCACAAGGTCACCGGTGGTGACCTACTGACCTACTTTCCCTCACCCTCCGCATCCCCCAGGTGGGTGAGTATTTTACTATATAACATGTTTAACCCTCACCATCCACCTCCCCCAGTTGGGGGGAGTATTTTACTATATGTCGGTGTACCTCACCCTCCCCCAGGGAGTATTTTACTATATCTCGTTGTACCTGCGGCTCACCTACCACCGCCTGGTGGGGGAGTATTTTACTATATGTCATTGTACCTCCGCATCCCCCAGGCAGGGAGTATTTTCCTATATATCCTTTGCTCACCCTCACCCTCACCCTCACCCTCCACCATCACCCATTCGCTCCAAAAGGGACCTAATATACTACTAACATTATGTCGGTAACTTTTTAAAAAAATTTCCCACATAGATGGTCCATAATGGGAAATTTCTACGTACGCCGATGTTTTTTAATACATTGTTCTACTTCAGCGTTAATGATTAATTCATTTGTTATTCCTGTTTGATTTTTTTTTTTACCTATTCTTGATAGTACACGTTTGACAAATCTTCAATTCGAGGTTTTTTTTTAACAATATTATTTAAGGGAAAAATTTGATTTAGTGTTTTTTTAAATAAATAGTTATATATTTTAATGTATGCGAATGTCAACCTCAGCCCCCTCCCCCTCCCCTCCACAAGTGTTCACAAAAACCGACTTCATTAAGACTCCGCGAATGATGCAAATGGATAGCCCAGTGGACATAGGCAAAAGTTCTGGGCTTAGAAGATAGAGTGATCAGGGGCGAAGAGGTTTAAAAGGATACTGGTTAGCATTGTGTAGTCAGCTGACACGCCGTTTTTCAATGGGATATGGGTCTTCTAGAATGAATCTAAGAGCATTTGTTTGTATTTAAACTTTCACATAAATAAAAATACTTCGTTAATTAATCACCTTTTCATCGGTAGGTAACTGGCCACGTGAACACCTACAGTCAACCGTGTAACACTGCGGCAAACTTCACCCTCCAACAGAGTGGCGACGTCAGGGTTTGTGTCAGGATTTCATCAGAACTGTTGATTTTTACAGATGCTAGAGAAAAGTGCAAATGTAATGCTTTATATCTAAATAAAATTTAATTTAAATATAATTACCTTAGAAAATATAATTTATTTTCTAATTTAGCATTTTATATTTCTTAATATTATTTTAAACATATGCCTCGCGTCTGTGGTTCTTCTCTGAGTCTATCCAGCTCTAATGGGTACCTGGTCACTCGCGTTATGTAAGTCTAATAACCTTTGTTCTAGTCGCACTATTCTTTCGTATTCCGTCATCAAGAAATCATATACATTCTACTTCTTAAGCCTCATGATCCGACTGGTCTAGAAGTATACTTTACTGTGGCGAGGCTATATTGGTGCGCAATTGATTTTAGTCATCGAACTCTATTGTATTAAAAATGTTAAAATACTGAAAACAAATTGAATTAAAATGTTTTAATAACAATCTAGTATATAATAATGCACTAAAAACTAAAAAGGAGAAACATGAAATTTATTTAATTATATAATAATACACTAAAAATATACTGCACAAAATGAACATGAAAATGTACGTATAAAAGTGCGGTGTAGTTGTTGTAGGTCGTCCTACTAATTTCAGAACATTTTAGTTAAATCATAAAAAATCGAATATTTAATTAATTCAGTCAAATATGTCAGATTGCATAATGTTTGTGTCTTGATGCACATGCCAAGTTTGAAACGAATCGGTCAGTTAAAAGTGCACTAATTTTGCTGCCTGTCGCGGTTGACGACGACAAAAACACCACAGACAGAGGAAGCTTAAAAAAATATTGTAATCATAAACTTAAAACTTTTCCAGAATCTAAAAAAAAGTCATATAAGTGTATATATGATGTAAGTTATGTTAGAGCTAATCTTTGCTCATATATATATATATATATATATATTTATATATATATATATATATATATATATATATATATATATATATATATATATATATATATATATATATACATATATATATATATATATATATATATATATATATATATATATATATATATATATATATATATATATATATTGGCAAAGATCATCATATATATATATATATATATATATAGATGGGCAAAGATTAGCTTTAATATAACTTACATTAGCAGCTTTGGGTAGTACACTATATACAGTAAAGACGCCAGAGAAACTGACCATCCTGAAGAATGTTTGTGCACGCCTCAAAACTTATGTCTGGGTGGGACTGGATGACATGGAGACGGAGGGCGTATTTCGGTGGGTGGATGACGGAACAATCGTCTCAGACAGCAGGAAAAAAGTGCTGTTTGCTCCAGGTACTTGGGTTTATTCACACTTTTTAAATCTTCACTTCTTTTCTAACAGTTATCAAAATGTAAGCAGAAGCGAAGCTAGCCATTAAGGCCCCAGAGACGAACATCCAATGTTTCACCTCCCCCACCCTACAAAAAGTGAGAGATATTGGAAGCTGGATCGTCAGATTTTGAACTTTCAAAAATAAAGTTATTTGGCGAAGTTTTGTCGAAGCAAATGCTTCTTTTTTAGGAAGTTGTTTTTAGAAGATGCAATCTAATTTATTCCATTGGTGTTTTATCTCGGGATCAATAATTTCCAAAAAAAACTAGTATAATAGAGTTTGGATCATCAGCTAAGCTGCACAAAGTAATATAGCAGTATTTATATAGTGTTACATGGTAGTCAAACGCTGTGGTAGAACGTTGTACCTGTTTTTGCTGGCCAAGTAGCATTGACTATTTACAAAGTGAAGTTTTAGGAGGTTGTTGTGAAACAAGCAATCACACGCCCATCTTTTCTGTACATGCTACTAATTTTATAGTTAAACAAGCGGGCACATCTCGCGCGTTGCCGCGGTCTCAGAAGAAAGTCTGACGCAATATTTTAAAAGGGTTTCATCAATGCGTTACCAATCCTATATTCTTAGTGTTTTTTCTATCCCATCCACCGCCCCCCCCCCCCTCCCCCGGGCACGCTACTAAATGTAAGTGTATGCTTTGCTTGGAAAAAACGTTATACAATCGAAACGTAATGGTATCCATGGATTTATGCTAGGTAAAGCACAAAACCTGAACTATAATCCGCTGTTTTTAAAGCTAGACTTTTCTACTATTAAAGATTTATAACTGCTTGTGTGAATATATAACTACTTTTTGTTTAAAGTGTATCTATTAAATCTACTAGCTACAAGAATAATTGAAAGAAATCAATTGTTAATTTATTGATAAATGAAGCCCACAAATCAAAAGTTAAAGATAATAATTGAAATAATCGTGAGATAGTTATGTCTACATAACTACTTTTTGTTTAAAGTGTATCTATTAAATCTACTAGCTACAAGAATAATTGAAAGAAATCAATTGTTAATTTATTGATAAATGAAGCCCACAAATCAAAAGTTAAATATAATAATTGAAATAATCGTGAGATAGTTATGTCTACATTAACTATTAAAGATATTTTTAAAAAATCAGAATAATATGTGTTGGGTGCGTACATTCTTAAAGCTAAGTATGTATACACATGCGTAGGTTTACACCTAGTTAACTAAATGTGTACACTTTTACATTATTATAACTAAAAAAGTTAAATTAATGTGAACGCAGCCTTACCCCCCCCCCACCCTAACTTTTGTTTAGCCATGTATTACAAATGCACGTGTGTTTAAATTCCAGGTCAGCCCAACAATGGGGGACCTAGTGAGGACTGTGTGGCCTTCTCACCTATGCTCAGCCCACTACACGACGCATGGTGCACTGATAAGGACTTGTACCTGTGTGAGATGGAGTGCTTGTATTAAAATCTTCATTACGAGTGTTGTACACAATACTAACCTTGGTCAATGTGGTTTTTTTTTTGGACTTACCTTAATTCTTGCCATTAATAAAGAGAAACGCATTTGTCATTCTACAATTACGTTTTTTTTTTAAAATTCAACATTTTTCTTGAAAGTTTTTATAGAGTAGAATATATTATATATTTCCCATACTGTATTTCTTTATAATGGTTTCTATGTTTTTTTTTGTTGTATGTTTTTAATGTGTTTACAATACATCTTTAAAAGTATGTGTATACGTGTTTTCCTTAATAAAAAATGCAATCGACTACAGCAAACTTTCTCTCGCCCTTTATATAACAATTTGACCACAAGAGGTGGACTGGGCCCCAGGGACACAGGGGGTGGACAGGGACACTGGGGGTAGACATGGAGTCAGGGGGTGGACGGCCTCAGGGATACTGGGGGTGGACAGGGCCTCAGGGACACTGGGGGTGGACACTGCAGCCGGGACAAAGGGGGTGGACAGGGACCCTGGGGGTGGACAGGGCCTCACTGTGTAGACTGGGACACTGGGGGTGGACGGGGACACAGGGGGTGGACAGGGCAGCCGGGACACAGGGGGTGGACAGGGCAGCCGGGACACAGGGGGTGGACTGGGCCTTATGAACACTGGTGTGGACAGGGACACTGGGGGTGGACACTGCAGCCGGGACAAAGGGGGTGGACAGGGACCCAGGGGGTGGACAGGGCCTCACTGTGTGGACTGGGACACTGGGGGTGGACACTGCAGCCGGGACAAAGGGGGTGGACAGGGACCCAGGGGGTGGACAGGGCCTCATTGTGTGGACTGGGACACTGGGGGTGGACGGGGACACAGGGGGTGGACAGGGCAGCTGGGACACAGGGGGTGGACTGGGCCTTAGGAACACTGGTGTGGACAGGGACACTGGGGGTGGACAGGAACACGGGGGGGTGGACAGAGACACAGGGGGTGGACAGAGACACAGGGGATGGACAGGGCCTCAAGGACACTGGGGGTCGACATGGAGCCGGGACACACGGGGTGGACTGGTACACAGGGGGTGGACAGGTATACAGGTTGTGGACAGGGGCACAGGGGGTGGACAGGAACACAGGGGGTGGACAGGGCAGTCGGGACACAGGGGTTGGACAGGAACACTGGTGGTGGACAGGAACACAGGGGGTGGACAGGGCAGCCGGGACACAGGGCAGCCTCAGCGACACAGGGGGTGGACAAGGACACTGGGGTGGACAGGGACACAGCGGGTGGACAGGGACGCAGGGGGTGGACAGAGACACTGGGGGTGGACTGGGCCTCAGCGACACAGGGGGTGGACAGGAACACAGGTGGTGGACAAGGACACTGGGGTGGACAGGGCAGCCGGGACACAGGGGGTGGACAGGGACACAGGGGGTGGACAGAGACACAGGGGTTGGACAGGTGCACAGGGGGTGGACAGGTAAACAGGGGGTGGACAGGGCAGAGTTCTGACAAGTACGACGATATCAACGCATGCAAATGATTTGACAGTTTGACAATATTTAACTTTACTACTTACTGCACTATAAAATACAAATGACAATCAGAACGAACGATGCTAAGAGTTGACTACACTACGACCTAACCCTAACACAACTAGAACAAGACTACTATTATCTTCTTCCCCGGCAACAACGAACCTACACTGAAACGTCATAATCTTGCGTACGGCATCACCATTTCATGCGTTCATTATATATTTCGCACTAATATTCGTTCGCACCAACATGCCTGATCAAACACACATCATAACAAAGCCCACGTAGCATTATACCATCACAAAAGTCCAAGTACCGCTAAAAAAGCCCATATGCAATCACGCAAACCCATTTACAATCTAACAAACTCATGTATTATCACAAAAATTCATGTACTTACACTTACCTAGGTAATATTGACAAAGTCAACGTAAAATCAAACAAGCCCAAGTATCATCACACAAGCCCACATCCCGTCATAAAATCTGCACTTTCAATTAATACATAGACAGATTTTTCTTTGTTTTGTTAGACAGTACGTAGACCGCGCAAAAAACAAAAAAAAAAAATAAATGTGGGCAATCGAATAGCTTGGTCTAGAGCAGGGGTCTCCAAACTTTTCAGTCCGAGGGCCGTATTAACTATCAAATTTCAGTTCGGGGGCCAGTTTCTTCAAGGCATGTTTTTGATTTTTCTGGGCAAAGTTCCCAAGCCATCACCAACAAAGGATTTTTCTTGGTAAAAAATATCTCATCGGGCCGGATGAGAGGACTTTGCGGGCCGCATCTGGCCCGCGGGCAGTAGTTTGGAACCCCTGGTCTAGAGCCTAGATCTAAAGCTGTATGCATGTTTTTCTTTTCTTTAAACTCAAGATTAAAAAAAAACTAAGAAGGTACACATTTCTAAAGAGAAAAATATATCATAGCAAAATTTTGAAACGTGTCTATTCAGACTATGGAGACGAAAGGTTTGAAACAAAAGCTGTTTTAATCTTGATGTCGCGACTTGCGTTTATCAAATATTTACGGTTGTGTGTCTAGCCTTCATGTTGTTGTTCACAAAACTTTGTTCTAGTTAAACTGATATAACTAAGTCAGATTGACGTAATGGAATACAAGTGGAAGAAAGAAAATACAAGTTATGACATGTACAATGCTTGCGAAATTTTGTTGTATAAACTCTGCTTTCATTTAGCCACTAGATGTCTTATAACCAATTGGTAAACTTTACTTCATCTGCGCAACCACCTTCAAATCCAATGGCTTATTTTACTTTAACATATAAACTTGTATTTATGTTGGGTTTTTGTTTGTTTGTTTTTTAAGAGACGGGTGTATAGCAAAACTCTGTGACAGTTTCGGCAACACACCAACTCCTTCCCCCCTCCTTCTTCCCCCTCTCTCTCTCTCTCTCTCTCTCCAGAAATAGAACAAATATACTTTACTTCAACCAGTATCTCCCCCACACTTGAAGTTAGAGTGGTTTCGTCCTCACTATCTTAAAAAATGTCTGTGGGCAGCAGTTGTTTGATTTTGGAATTTTTTCGCCTAAAATAATTGCTGACTACAGATAACGAGCCTCTTTTACCCGACCACGCCGCCCATTATTTCCAATACAAAAGAGCTTACTTATCAGAGGTTATCAGCGACAAACAATAATGGGTGTACTATAGTATTATTTGTAATAGAGGAATTTAAAAGTTTATGAAAAGAAACAAAATTAAAAAAAAAACCTTTGACTCTATAACGGAACTTATTAACAGTGTTTCTTCCAGACTTTTTTCTCCGGGGGGGCACTTGAAATCTTCGGGGGGGCGGTAGACTTTCTTCGGGGGGGCGGACACTGTTAAAAGTATATATTTTCTATATAAATTATATAAATTTCATTTCGTTCGGGGGAGGGCGGTAAAAAATTTTTGGGGGGGGGGGGGGGGGGGGGGGCTTTGCCCCCCCGAAGAGATGCCTGGAAGAAACTCTGCTTATTAACTGCTTTCTCATAATAAATTCACTTTTACTTAGTTTTCAAGATACGTGTTAGATCAAATGGTTAATGGTGTATAAATAGTTGTGTTTCATGTTTACATCTCAACTCCTATCTTACGTCGTTTGATGTATCGTCAATAATTAATGCCTGATCGATTACTTTTTCTTGCGCAGTCCAAAACTATGTCATGTCGTACAATAACACGGGTACAGCACGTGGATACCACAGTAGCACGACAGTAGCATTATGGTAGCACAAAACTAGCATTACGGTAGCACAACAGTAGCACCACAGTAGCACCACAGTAGCACCACAGTAGCACCACAGTAGCACCACAGTAGCACCACAGTAGCACCACAGTAGCACCATAGTAGCACAAAAGTAGCACAACAGTAGCACCTCAATAGCATCACGGTAGCACTACAGTAGCACAACGGTAGCACAACAGTAGCACAACAGTAGCACCACAGTAGCACCACAGTAGCACAACAGTAGCACCCCGGTAGCACCACGGTAGCACTATGGTACCACAACAGTGACACTACTGCGAAGAGACAATAGTATTTATCCTAGTGTAATTCCTATTCTCCTCACTGATTGTTGAAATCATATAGACGCAATATGTTGCAATATGTTACATGAGATCTATCATTGATTCGAAAGTCTGCATTATAAATGCTTTAGTATTGTATTCCAACCGTGCATCTATTATCAGCTCTTAATTTGCCGTGATTACACGTGGACAAGGTTGATGTTCTTTCTTAAGCCTCGTGCTTGTCATAATTTTGGTGGAGTGATTTTTTTTCTTCATTTTTGACGTTCAAGTCAAAATTCGTTAGGCTTACTAGAGTAGAGAACTCTACGTTAAAACTTTGGACTGTAAAATATTCAATTGCGTACGTCGTTGACTAGCATACGGTAATGCCATGTGTACTTAGATATTTCAATCAAACGGTTAAAAACCACGTACTATTCCCAAACCCGACTAGGATATGTATTACATGTTAGGACTTCTCATAATACGGCCCAAACTATTTCAAGCAAAATTCTAAGTGTGATTGCGCAGGGATTCTTGAGTCGGTTGCATCAGTAAATTTATGAAATCCTGATTAGACTTAATGAGCTATTTTAGTTTACAAACAACATTTATAATTAAACAATAATTTAGATAATAAAATGTTTTCAAAAATTTAAATTTACATTTTGCGCGTCAAAATATTAACTAATAATAAAGAAGCAAACAGAAACGGCTATATCATTTAACATTACATAAATACAACAGACTAAATGTCGCACTCTGAACGTTACCGGCTGAAAGACCTCTTAGAAGGCTCAATTACTAAAATAAATTCTATTTCGGCTGATCATGTAATAGGCAACAAAACCAATACTACTGTGATAACAATGCTTTTAAAACAATAAGTTCACTTCAGTCTGAAAAATACAGAAATAAAACTCAAGGTTAAAATATAACGCCTGCTTAACATTTCCCTTTTTCCCCACCATTTTACTGCCATGTTTTTTAAACTTTAGTACAACAAGTGCACACTATTCGTCAATAAACAATTAACATAATCGATCACTTTATTAGTGTAAGCAGTGGCCTTGGGGATGTCTTTCCCGTAATATTTAAAGCTTACCGTAGTTTTGAAAATGTTTATCTAGGGTGTGCTTCATCAATGTTTAACTACTGGGGTCAAGGGAGTGCTGTAAGTTGATGGTCAAACCCATGTATCCAATACTTGAGTTAAACTGATGATGTACTATTGACGGGTTATCCCACGTATTACAGATGAGTTAAACTAATGTTGTACCTAGATGTGTTGATAAACTTGCTCCAAGGCTAAACATTGAAACTCCACCAAAAGTGTCTAAATAACCTAAAAGCTATACAATCTCATATTAGTGTAACCCCAGCACTTCAGAATGTTTGTACGAGAGCCGGTAAGCTGCATGAGAAATATACAACATATTTAACAATACAAAATAGTGAGGAATACTATTTTACAGCTTTCTCAACAACAAATTAGTATTTGCTCACATTAAATTTTACTTAATCTTTTTGTAATGTTTATCATGGTAACATTTTTAATATTTAAATTAAGTCTTTTTTTTAAACTTAGAGCATTACAAATGCAACATATCATATTTACTACGATAAAACATCGTGTCTACAAATATTTGGTTTAACAACTTAGCGAATCACAACTGATTGATACATTTTCTTCGATAAAACATTTAATTTCAATTAAGTTTCAATTAAACATCGTGTCTACAAATATTGCCTAACATCATTTGAGTACTACCAATACACTGACTGTGTGCGATTGTACAGGAATGAGGAAACCAAAGTAAAACTGTGTTTAACTTAACAAAGATAAGAAACTTTACTGATTTCATGTTTGTATTAAAACATGTAATTAAGTATTGATAAAAGAATCTTTGATCATATACACTGGCTCATCAAAATATAGAAAAAAGTAATGTTACCTAGAAAAAGTTCAATTTATAGCCTAAACCTGATTGGGTGAAAAATGAACACGTGATGTCGGAAAATCCCGCCCATAGTATTGATCTCCTGGCAATAAATCATAAGTGAATTTGATATCTAATTGTCAAAGCACAGTCCAGATTTCTGGCTACAATACTCGCTTAAAAGTTTTTAAAAATATTCTCGTCTTCCGTCGTTTAGAAATGTAGCGTTAAATCTTCAGTTTGATCAAGTTCATTCGTACTGTTTAAACATGACTCGTTCCATCAGAATATCGGTGTAGTGTGGTCTAGTAATCAACGCCGCCTGACAATGTATCAACTCATCACTCATTCAGCCAAAAAAAAATCACTCAGTTTTAAAAACTTCTG